AAAAAATAGTGACATCTTTGGGAAGACCTGGAAAAGTCAAACAAATACACACAGTGTTCCACAGGTACAAAAACGACATACAATCTAAAAACCTGTTTCCTGGATTTCTGAACACTGTGAGCATGAGAATAGTCTTTTCACCCCCCTCCTTTTTTTTTTTTTTTTTTTAAATGCTGACTGAGGAAGTCTGTAGTTCTATAATAATTTACTCCCACTAAAAACGCCTGCCTCTGTTGAAAGGAATGCTGTCAAAGCCAGCTTAGGTTCCAGCTGATTTAAATAAAAGTACACAGCTGTTAGACAGTAAGATTACAGCCCTGCTATGGACGTTATTGTGGATAGAAGAAAGACAAGACCAGCACAAAAAGCAATGGATATATGGCCTAATTAGGTCACTTTGTTTTTCCAAAAACTTTTTCACTGAGCCTGTACCTTAAGGCTCTAGTAATGCTAAAATTTTTAACTGTGGAAGGTATTCTAACTGTTTTCCTTTCACACAAAAGAGCAAGTTAAAAAGGCAGGTATCCTTACAGTTTAAGCCCCACTCTCTATATACACATGATCAGGCTATAGGAGATCCTGCCAGAAGAGCAAAACTTATTTTGGAGGATACTGGTAAGATAAAGAATTTCAGTGATTTAGTCCTGTTACCTAACTCCTGCAAAGGAAGTACAACAGTTCATTGGTTTATAAGATGAACACTGTGTGGAGGATTTGTGTGGCACAAATACAAGGCACACCTCCAAATTCACCATCAAAGAGGACTGTACAATACCTTTACAGTAGAGGTTCTGGGATTTTTTGTAAACTCAAACTGTGAAGACTAAGGCCATATAGCTATATCCTTCAATAAGGATCCAAAAGCTTACTCTAGTGGACATGTCTAAAACTTCAAGCCTCCTCTCTTTTCTTTTGTGAGTCCCCTTCCTTGAAGCCACAGCAAACTTCACACCCATTAAGATCATACCCTTATCCAAACGACAGAAGACATCGGCCATGAAGAGCAGTGATGTACAACCCATACAAGCAACTGAAGGTCAGACTACAGCTCTCAGAGAAGCTATGGATACTGGAGTCTCAGCTGGAATAAAAAGCTAAAGACAACTCTCTAATAGGAGTCTCAAATGACTCAAGCACAGTGCTGTATAGCTGAGAAAAAAAAAAAAAAGTATGTCACCTTTTTTGACTGAAGCAGGACCTGAAATACCAAGAAGTGCTGTTCAACCATAAATGCTCTAGTACGAGCATGAGACATAGGGCACCAACATGTTCCTACAACTAAGCTGAAGTCAAAGGCTGGTGGGTTTTATACACAGGACTTTTTAACTGAGTGCTGAACCTACATTATTTTCTACCCAATTTGTACAACAAAGAACAGGCATGGCAGAAACTATATGATGAGAAAAAAAGTGACCTGTGTAACTACATTAAAGCAATTCAAGAAGACTGCAGCCCTCTTATCTTGTGTAGAATTGGACAAGTTTGCACACAAGCACCTGAGAAAACAAGTTTGGGGAAAGCTGTTTATATTCACAACGTCCTTGTTCCATTTCCTGACAAATCAAATAATTTTCTATATATACTCACAGGAAACTAAAATCCAAAAAAAGCTGTGTTTTACACTGGATCACTAACATCTGGACAGAGTCTATTTTTTGGATATAACAAAGACAGACTAAAAGAGGTAATGAGATTCTACACAAAGCTGTTCAGGCAACTTTCTCTCTCCCTGCTTGCTCGTAACTACTCACCTTGCATGTTATAAGCTGCCAACTGGACGGCTGTGTCAAAAGGACATTCCAATCTGCAGTAAGAGAAGTGCATTGTTAAACCCTTCCACTATTTAGCAGATAATTCATACACCTGACAGTAAGAAGCTGCAAACATTCGCGTTAAGAAAGTGCAAAAGCCTTAGTATATCTTCAGTAAATTAACTCAAGATAAACACTAAGTTATTTAAGCATTCCTCTGATGGTATTCATGCACAGAAGAGTTGAATTTTATTAGAGAAAAAAAATTACATTACTTAGCAAAACTTATTCATTATCCAAATATAAGTTCAATAAATCCTATGCCAAACACACTGTCATTGTTCAAAAAGCTGTTTATTGGGAATACATACTTTCCACTAAGAATATCCAGCTTCAGCTGCAGAACAAATAAATACCTGTAGAATTAAAGAAGAAATAAAAGTCACTGATTAATACTTCTGATGTGCCACTCAGTCAACAGGAGGAAGTTAGGGCCTGACAAATAAAAACGTTTTCTATTCTTTAAACGAGTTTTCAAGACTGAAGAAACTGCACTGTGATATTTCAAGGCTTTATCCATTGGTTTTGTATGCTTTGCACATGTCAAATGAAGTAAAACCCAGACTACAAGTTGTCACACATTGAACTAGTGTTACATGGAAAAAAAAAATAGGATACCTAAGTCTTTTTCCTCTTCTGATCCTACTTGCCAAAGAACACACTACATCTTCCCCATTTTCTTCTTTATTCAGACATACCAATCTCATAAGAGAATGAATGTTTTGAAGTCTCTTGAAAAAAAAAAAGACTCTAAAAAAAAGACTGCAAACAGACAAAAAAAAAAAAAAAAAAAAACCTCAAACATCAAGCTGAAGCCTTTTCAACTTGTTTACTTTTCAGAGCCAGCTTTCCTTCACTGCCTTGCTTATTCAGTATTCTTCTTGCTTAGAAATTGGGCAAATATTGAATACAAAGCTCTCATTCCTTTGGTGCACAACATCAATCTTTCTGATCCACAAAGTGTATCCCTCTGTCCTGTTACAGCACACAGCTTTCCTTTAACAAGACAAGTGGTCTCATCCACTGACACGCTGCCATCAGCAATGGTAGACACAAAACAGATGCAGGTATTTTTCCTACATGTCCCACAGAAATCCACAATTACTTTGCCAAACCATGTGTTATCCAAAGCGTTTTGAACACTGACCCCTACATGGTGAATAAATCTGTTTGGAACTGACCCTAGATACCAAAAGAATGAGCACAGGCCTCCAGTGAATAGTGGGTGTGACCAGTCCATGCTTATCAGTCACATAACACTCACAAACAATTCAAGCATACTTCCCATGCTTAGCTGTGTTAAGTGACCTCTGGTGGCATCTGATGGGAAGCTGGCAGAAAACATGAGCAAGCTGCACCTCTGGAAGCTGAAAAGTGTCTCCAGCTGGGTGTCCTGCTGCATAAAGAACAGGCAGAACCCTCACAAAGCCTCTGCTAATGACACCTAGAACTTGTAGCAGAGCTCCCCTTCTCACTGCTTCTTGTCTTGAGACAAAAAAAAAAAAAAAAAAAAAAAAAACACTTGGATTCAGAGGGAATTTTTTTGTAAAAAGGCATGCTCTCCTCTTCTGAGGGATTAGCTAAGCAGACAGGCTTTAAGAGCCCTCAGGTTTCAGGTCTGCCCTGCTGAAACCTGTGCAGTAAGGTCTTGACTGGCAGAACTCAGGCAGACTGGATGAAAATTTTTTTGTAGTTGTAGATACAGATGTAGGTCTGAATTCTGCCTATGGTTACTGTTTTTAAAGACAGTTAAATTTTTATTTAGGAACATGAATGGAGAGGTAAATCATTCCTGCCAGATCATCAAGAAAGCATTAAAGAAGACCAGTTATAACATTATGGTGCCACACATAAGTACGAAGCTGCGCAGAGTACATATGGCTGCGAAGGGTAATGCTGCTATAATCTTCTGGTAGCACTCCTAGGGATTTGGCTGAAGTGCAGATCGAAAATCCACAGACATAAACCTGAACAACAAACAAATGTACTTCATGCTTTTACAAATGGCTGAAGGTATGAAGCACCTACAGCTATCAAGAAAACATAACAACTTGGTTTCCTCTCTGAAACGGGTCATCAGCAGCGGTGACAACGCCAAGAAACGCTGCCTTTTGCAGCAGGGGCAGGCTACTGACAGATGGCAGGCTGTGTTCTCTTCCAAAGCAACCCGAGTAAGTCTCAGTCCAACATGAAATGCGGCATTATGAATGAATCTGTGAAATGTTTTTATCAAGAGAAACTGCTGCTCAGCTGATACTACAATCCTACACATACAGTACCATTAGCTCACATCTTAAAGCGGTACTAACATACTATTTCCCCTTCCATAATCGTTACAAAGACCTAGAAATAATCAAACATTAACTGAATTTACTTTTTCCAAAGAGAAGCTCTAACTTGTTGTGCCACACTTTTCTGCCTGAAGAGAGAGAATGACTACATACAGTTTAAACTAAATGCAGCTTAAGAAAAATAAAAAGGAATGATGTCTGTTGTTTTCAGTAAAAACCTCTGTCCATTGTGTATAAGCTACTCAGATCAGCGGCCAGAACTGCCTGATGAAAAATGGTGCATTGAGTAATATAGTAAATATAAAGATCTTTTTATATTAGAGCTCATTTATTTCATGAGAACTACATTAGAAACATTTACTGAAAGCCAAGTAAGCAAGCAGATCTAAGGAATTCTCCAAAACATCATGCAACTCTTTAAACACCACAGAGCCATTTTCTTGGCCTTATTTGGGTACCCCTCTTTCACACAAAATCCCTCTTACCTTGTTAGCTCTTCACGCAGATTGTTGGGCTCCGAGGAGTAAAACTTCACACGAAAATGCAGACAATATGGTGGGCCAACTGCAAAGCAGAATTCAGTCAAGACAGCGGTAGCAGTTACTGGACAAGACTTATTATCTAGAATCACATCACAAAACCTGACTGAAATTGGCTTTGTCCTGCCACAAGGCAAGAATTCCTTTGTGGCAGGGAAATGCATGAGAAACATCAGGATGAAAGGACACTTAAAGATATACACAAAATAGTTTTCTGTGTTACAAATCAATTCAGTCATATCACATTAAGCTGATTTGCCCCACCAAGAGCACAGAAATCTAGGCTAATCCCTATATTTAAGGACTCTATCCATCACCAAGAAAGCTGTGCATCTTGGCTCTGCAGTTGACCAAACCCCCAGGCACTCTGTTGGTCTCTGTAATGCCTTGCCTGGGCTCTGGGACATACCCACTGCTGACAATTCAGACTCCTTTATTTCACAGATGTTTAGACATATTTCTAGGGGGATTTAATAGGCCCTTCTGTGGAAGAATGATCTTTTTGGAAACCAAAGAGTTAATTCAGCAAAAGGATGGATTAACAGTTCTTTAAAAATGTGCAGTGCTCTGCTGATTCTTGCATCTGACAGAAGGAATTTTCTCTCTCTTAGTGCTTCCAAAACCTCTGTTGTATTAACACAGCACCACAAACCCCAAAAGACTTCCCACAGTGGAGAGCAAGGAAGCTGCTAAACAAAAATCAGCTGGTGTCACAGCTCACCCAAGCACACACCACTGAAATGGCCAGGCCACACTAAACCCTTGTGCAGCAGGTAAAGACTTGAATTTGGGCACTCAGGACTGCCCCTAGGGATGGAGGCTCCAAGACAAGTTTTCCTATAGTGAGAATAATGATCTATAACACTAAGGCACCTGTCTTGACTCTATTTAAACTATAATTAATGAGCACCTAACATGGTTTATTAAGGACATTACACTACAGTAATATGAGCTACAGATTGAAGAGGTCATTAAAAAAACAGCAGCACCATGACAGGGTTTTGTCACTGGTTCTTGTCACCCCTCACAGGACACTGTCCCCTCTCCTCCCCCTCATTTCAATTCTCTGTGCCTCCTGTATGTTCAATAAATATGAGAAAATGGAAAGGACACTTACTTTTAACTTGCTTTTTTATGCTTTTTGTGTTGTCCAACCAATGCTGAAAAAGAAATTACTTTCATTGAATTATCAATAAGGAAATTTATCAGAAAGAACAAAAAGGAAAGAAACCCTATCCATTAGTGAAGACCATCTTGGAATGACAAGTAGTCTGTTAACACAAACTAATCCAATTCTTTCACAGCTCATAGCTCTCTACTCGAAGATCCTTTCACTTGAAGTTTGTTCAAAACGGATATTTTGCATTACAACAGAAACATCCTGCAGTACCTTTTTTAAAAAGCCAGTCTTCAAGAACGCATTAACTACTTGGAAAAAATAAATGTACTGGCAAACCACTGCAATCAGGAAAATTTTCATCCTGTCCAAACAAACACCCAATTCAGACATTAGTAGGTCAGCAAGTGACAATGTGCCTGAGAGGCATAAATCATAGCTGGAGACTCTGGCACTCAGATGTTTGTGCTGTCCACTTTGGGTGGAAGGGGAGAGTCTAAATATTGTTAGCTTTCGGGCATTTTCTTTAGATGACTCAAACGTGGTAACAGCAAAGCTGTGTATGTCTGAACGTAAGAGTCAGCTGTATTTACTTCTCCAAAATCTCATCTCATCTGACATTTTAGCAGTTGGCACATGGGAGGATAGCAGATACTGCCTCACCTACAAAAGTTAATTACAAGCTGCGTATGAGGCAAAATAAAGGCTTCGGTTATACTGCATACAACAGCATGTGAAAATGAAGCTATAGAGGGCAGGCTGAGAGAAACATCTACAAGTATATGCTATGCTCCCTAAAATAATCGCATATACTCCCACTGCTGAAGAGTTTATACCAGAAATTAAAGATAAAGCTGGAAAGCAAACACCCAGTTGGCAGGAGAGACATATATCTGAGTGCTGTGCCCAGTGAACAGCTCCCTCCTCTGAAGGAGGTGACTCAGCTCACCAGTAAACACAGCACCCTGCTCAACAGAAGTGCATGGACTCAACAGCCAGAGTGAGCCATGAGCACACCACATCCTGCAAGGGTCACAATGCCCAGGTAACGCCACCTCACCTCACCAGTCCCAAACCTCACTCTGCAACTACTACTGACGAATTATACACCTAGCAACACTCCTTTGCTCAACTACGTGCCATAGAGTTCACATTGGGCCCCACAGAGGACAGAAAAGCAACAGGGACATGTATGAGAAAGAACCGGTATTTTCAGGTTGCAATGCCAAGTGCAAACACATTCCTGTCTTCAGAGCAGCCCTGCCTTCTACAGAGAGTGTGTAAAGTCAGCCTGTCCTACAGCCAGGATATACAGGGATTGACACATTAACTGCAGATCTGAACAACTGAACCATCCACTGCTGCTGTGCACACAGCTGAAAATGCTCTCATTGCCTCTGAAAACAAAGTAGCTAGAGATAGCTTTCAACTGGAATATATCTCATGTATTTTTAAAATAAAGCAGGAAGCATGAAGGAAATATTTATGTCAACTTTGCTTACCCTACCAGCAAAACAGAGCTGAGCAAATTTTTTTGTTTCTTGAAGAAAATTATACAATCTCTCTTGCTATTCCATAAACTTACTATCTACTTACACCTCCCTCCACCATAAAAACAGACAAACTGTTGGGTGCTTGCAGGTGATTTAGATGCAGGAACAGCAAAGAGACCCACTTCTAGGCTCCGGGACTGGCTGTGCACGCCTGTTTCATCTCCCTCCTGTTTTGTCTCATCTCCTCCACATTCCATGGGAAGGCAATTGAGAGGCCCGCCAGAGGCACCGATAGCGTTCGACTCCGCTCGGCTCCCGCCACTGCTGCCGGGAGCTGCGGCCCCGCGGGAAGGGGTGGGTGGGAGCTGGGGAACAGAACTGCTTTCAGCTGGGGAGGGGCTGGGAGGAACGATGACACAAAACCCCAAACACATGCACGGACACACACAGACATCAGGAAACTTAAGATTTATTCCAAGTGATTAAAATGGAATTCAAGTGGACCTGGCAAGAAGTTTACATTTTGATGAGAGTTTGCTCAGTACAGTCTACTGCTGAAATCCAGAGATAAAGCTGGCTAAACAAAAAGCAATATGAACAAACTGCACAGAGTACTGGAAGTCTTTACAAAACAGTTTGCTGCTTCAGAAATTTAAAAAGAAAAAAAAAAAACACCACCCAAAAAAAAAAAAACAACAAAAAAAACCACCACCACCACAAACATAAATACCCACCTCAGCAACATTTCAAGAAGGGAGGGTAAATGAGGTTTTGTTGGGTTTTTTTCTTTTTTTTTTTTCAGTAAGATGGTGAGGCTAAAACTGGTCCCACACTTTATGGAATTAATGGATGCATACTTGATGCAATAATTACTAAATTATTATGCAAATAATTTAAAATATTATTATATTATTCAAATATTTTTCAGCATTAATCCTTACGTTAGATCAAACTGCCAAAGTAACCAACTAATGTGTTGCACAATTCCTTTAGGAAGACCAAGTATTTGATGCTTGCAACCTGTATGTTAGAATCAGAAACTTGCCACCTGCTAAGTGTTCAGTGCCTCTCTACTAGAAACATCTCTCCAACAGTCCTAGAGGGAAAGTCAAATCAAAAAGTTAACAGCAATCTTCCTCCTTTGTGTCACGGGACATGCTGTGCTGCTCATTGTCAGCCTGCACTGAAGTTACTCACATTCACAACAGTCTGTTCCCTTGACTGCCAGATCAAGTCTGATGCACGGTGGACAATCCTGCAAGTAACTCCTTTTGCCATCTCCTGACTCTTACTCGGTGGGAGGGGAAAGAATCTATTCCTAACCATCACACTATCGACAAATACAGAAATGACATGAAAATTACAATTCTTACACCTCACTAACTGTTTCAAGAGCTTCTTTAAAGAAGCTAGTATTTGAATCCTGAACGTCAGTGAACATTTTTATTATCTGGGTTCCCCTCACACTCTCTAGTACACTATAAACTCAAACACCTACCTACAAGTCACTTCAGCAGCTCAAAAGAAGAAAAAAGTGCCATTCTTCAGTTGCTCAAAATGAAACTCTTGAAAACTCACTTGCAGTTAAAAGAAGCAGAGATTTTTTTCAATTTTTTTTACTGAACTACATGTTGCTAGTTTCCCAGTTTTTCTATGATCAGACGCAAGTAGCTAGTAAGACAGTATGGCTTATATTGGGTAACAGAAAGATTATCTCCTTCAGAATCAGCAGACTGTGCTGTCCACGGTAAGGAACTGGACTCTTACACTGTTTATTTAACAGGTGGTCTGAATAATCTTTGGCAAGTCACTTGATTAGTCTCTGTTTCCAGCAGCAGATTGGGTTTCTGCTAGAATATGTCAGCTCCTCTTTTCAAGAATGGCTGCCACCACAATAGCTCTTCATTTCTTACTGTAATTATCTCTGGGTGTTGTGTTCAGCTCTCCTGGCAAAATGCAATCTTTTCTGCTTCAGAGTGTGTCATTAAAGTCCAGTTTAAACAGATTGTTATCTCTGCTCTGCCTCTTTTCAATCACACATAGTTAAGAAAAGGATGCAAACTAAGTTCGAAATCCCTTGTACCTGGTAGATTGTGCAGTATCGAATACTCAATCAGGAGCTGTCTGGACTGGAAGTAACAATTTGCTGGACAAAAGCAAGCCATGAGCCATTGCCCAGGCAGAAAAGATTAGCTTTTATTTCCTCGTTTCAAGATGAAACAACATTTTCTCAGTAAGAGAAAAAAAGTTTACCATACAGTTTCACCAGTGGCAACTAACCCACCGTGAATCCACTCTTACAAGACCCTAGAGGCAACTGAAAATATTTCAGAAGCCACATGGCAGAAAGTGAGTTAGGATGCCTAAAACGTACAGACTATTATTTCCCTGAAGCAGAAATCTAAATGCAATGGAGTATCACAGAATCATAGAATCATAGAGTAATTCACTATTAATACTCAACATCCTAGACTGCACATTCACAACATAGCTAATGTGATTTTTATAAATATAAAATGATATGCAATGGGCTGGTTCCTAATTTCTGGTGGCAGGAGGTATGCATAGTCCTGAATGACATCCCTCCACTAGTGTAATGGTCTTTTTCTCCTTAGAGTTAAATGTCTGTGTGCTGCAAGAGGTTTAAGACCATTTTCACTCCTGGGAGCTGCAGCCCAGCAGCAGCTAATGCCACTAGCTATGAAGGCTGCTTCAGATGCTGAACACAAATTAATTTCTCTAAAAAAGCATGTTCTCTACAACTACGAGCCAAGCATAAACCTTCATCGCAATAATTTTGAAAAGAAACCATCAGCTTATGTGTGTTTTGGAGTGAATAACAGTGTCCAAACCTGTCAGCTTCTTTCAAAGATTCAAACCTGGGGAGTTTTTTGCCATTGTGCAAAGCTGTAAGAATGAAGATGTCACCTTCAAATTGTTCTGGACACTGACCCTCACAGAAGTAAAGGAATATATGTCATTGCCTCCGTTTTGCATGCTAACCTCAACCAGTTCAGGTATTTAGCTCAGCAGCAACTGTCTGTGCTTCCACTCTTGTCATCCCTAATCTCGAAATAATTCTGAAGTGCACTTGAGCACAGAACCAAAACATCTACACCATACATCTAACAAATAAGACTGACATACATGGTATGAAAACTCAGATCTTCTGCCTGGAGGTGTGGGATAAGTGAACAGAGGTTTCAGTTACAGCGGTGCAGAACAGAGAAAAATCCACTTGTTGTCTAACACCGCGCTTAACTTGCGGCTATCCTTGTGGGCAGGATTAAGTACTTGGCCATAAGAAGTATCTATATAAAACTGCACAGCCCGGGAGTGAAAGAACCATGGTTGCTTCAGACAAGCAATGCTCTGCCTCTGTTTTCAAAAGCAGTCACATTTTTACAAACACACAACAAACCACAGACATTCAGGCGTGCAAGAACCCTCTACTCCAACTACCTGGTACACACAAACACACCTACATCCTCCCCAAAATGTCTAGTTGCAGGTCTGTGTCCAAATTGACTTGAGCAAATCAAATGTATACCCCTCTTGCCAAGATTATTTTCCAAGCAGACATTACCAAGGTGACATTTGCTGATCAGAAAGGCCATGGCACTGGTAAATTTCTCCACGCTGTAGAATAACAAAGGACCAAACACATGCTCTAGTTTTGCCTTTTCCTCTCAGCATCTGCAGTATAAAGAATTTCTACATGATGCAGCAGGCTCTGAGGTCCTGCTGGGCCAGCGTGTCAAGCAACAGCAGGAGGTATGACAGGAACATGTGAAAGACAAGAAAGGAAGAAATAATAGTGTTGAAATATATTAGAGAGTGCTCAAGGTGGAATTAAATTTGGGGTCACAAACTAACAACACAGAGCTGCAGAGAACTGAACCCAAAAAAAAGGCAGCTTTCTTAGAGCATTTTTGTCAATAGCAAGATTTAACTTTTAGACTGTTGCCAAGCAAAACAAAACTAAAGGAAAAGAGAAAAGCAAAGCACTGCTACTTACCGCCACTTGTGCGGAATCCATGAACCTTAATCCAAAGTAGTCACTTTCTATAAGGTCCAGGTGATACATGATCTGTTCAAACAGGAGCTGGCCTTTGGCTTTTCTCTGAAAATATAAAAGGATTTAGTACTTAGTAGGGAGGTTTCTAGAAGACACCTACCTTCTTCTAGGTATAGTTGATATTATAATTCAAAAAGTAAGAGAAACCCAAAATTAAGGTTCTGAAAATATAATGTGAAAATTATTTCTCTCCTATTTTTGGATGCCTGCTTTTCTTAAAGGCAAATGTAAACCCTGCAAGAAGCACACATAATAGCCTTAAAGACCTTTTTTGGAAAGGTCAGCATTGACTTGCACAACACCGAGTGTTAAAACGTCACTTTCTCATCGTCCCTTTTAGGCTCTCCTTACTCACTGAAGTTCAATGGAACTGGAAATACAGCCAGTACCACTGCAATAACCAATGCTCTGGAACGTTTCTGGAGCAAAGCACAACAAATTGCTTACTGATTTACCACTGTTTGATATCCAGGCAATTCAACAGTTTTGAAGCAGGTAGCAAAGCATATTGAATTTGCATACAGCATTCCATCAGCAAGTGCTTTTAGCAACTGCCAGGAAACAGTCCAGAGGAGCAAGGAACTTTAACAATTAGTACTTAGAAAACAGATTTACAAAAGTAAGTTCCTAAAACTCACTTGTGGGTACAAAAAGCCACTGCATGTGATTATACATAATTTATGAAAAAAAATTAGCTCTGGCCCCAAGGAAACAACATTTTTACAGTGATGATCTGAAAAATTAAATAGTTGTTTTTAAAGAGAAGGCATGTAAATAGCACTGGGCAGTTTCTACACAACACATTTTTCATGCTATGAATTCCTTCACAGTAATATGCTGAAAGAAAAACTTAACAGTAGTACCTGAGATACCTGAATGTAATAAAAATACATTAATAATCTAGTAGGTCAGAGTACAAATCATGGTGTTGAAAATAAATTCTTTTTAAATACAAAGAAATGCAGAAATGATTTATAGTTACTGTGCAAGCAGTTTAAGGATTTCTCTATGTCCATAATGCTATCATCTTTCAATCCTTTATCTTAATATTAATACATTCACAACTTCAGAAATGGGCTAACTTTCTAGGCATATTTTTTAGTAAGGTACTAATTAGCAGATTTACTCCACCTCTCAAAATTATGGGCCAGTCGGAATTCTTATACTTGAAAATAATCTGGTTTAATCACTAATACCCATGTAAGTAAAGCAGCTACATTAATTTTGACACCATCCTCTACCCTGATCTTCAAATACTTTGTATTTAACTTTGCAATCATGATCACAGTTTTACTTGAGTTAAATCCAAAATGACATTTCACAGCTTAAAGCAAAAACTCAGAAGCCTGTGAAATGAACCTGCATTAGCAAGTTCTCCCAGAGTTATTTATTTGCAAGTATTGGGGGAGGTGGGGGAACAGAAGGCAATTAGACCAGCAGGCAACTTCACACACACAGAGCATCATTATAAAAACGTTTTATATATGAAAATGCTGAGATGTAGACCTCAAACTCATTCAGGTCCAGTTTTTACCGCTGACTTCAATGAAATGTACTTCTCAGGCAATGCAGATTTATTAAACATTAGCAAGACTCTCCTAACAAAAATCTTGAGGCAAATCGACTACATATAAACCCAAACATATCTTCCACTACTTGAGTCTGCAGCCTGCTTCTTGAAAGAACAAATCGTTGGAACTGTTGATATTTTCTCTCAGCACAGGATATTTACTGCTTAAACAGTAACTTTTTTACTAATACAAGGGAAATCAATTCAGGATTTGCAACAGCAAAACTAGAAAAATGTTTCAGGTGCATGTAACTTTCTACAGCTTGTCTAAAACTAGACGAAAATCTCTCCTTATTTAACAGAGCATTTTAGAGCCTTCTCAATTCCTCATTAAGTCACCTTTTAAAACTGCAATTAACCAGTTATCTCAGCCAAATTCCCTCTTGGGGACAGGCTTTAACTCAAGCCTGGAGTTACTACACATACTATCTCAAGTTATTAACAACCAAAACTTAATATTCAAAATTCTGCAGCATCAAATTAGTTTCAGTGCGTGTTCAACACTCTGGTAATCCCAGCAAAGGGCTCAAAGATCAGGTGGACCCAGAATGACTATTGTGGGCCAAAGTCTCTGAAGAACAGCACTGGAGTGGCTGTGGAAACATTTGCAGGGCTACTGGTTGTTTTCCGACTTTAATCACCGGGGCTGTCAACACGGAATTAACTATGCAGTACTTTGCATATGACTTAAGCCATCAGTGTGAGTCAGCAAGAGTTTCATACATGCTTTGATGTTAAATTCAAATTCTTTCCTCTTAAAGCCTTGCTGAAGTCCTTCCTCCTTATATTTAAGCAAATGACAACCAAAAATATTTCTGCTTTGTAACGGTCAGGTTTCACAAATCATAATTAATTTCTTTGTTTTCAGTAAAACTGATCTCAAGTGTTTTCAAAACACATAGCAAAGATAAACTTTTGTAACAGCTTCTGGTGAAAAAACAGCCTAGCTTTTTAATGGCAACACTCAAATGACATTTTTATCCTGCTGCTACGCCATGCTTGCCCCTTTGTTCTCCTTGCAGCAGAGCTCAAGTTACTCTCAAAGGACAAATATTTTCAAGCCGCTTAATGGTTACCGATTAATGACTGCACTCACAAGCAGTCCAGCCGCTGGCTGGTCCTCCCTTCAGGGCACAAATTAAACTCCTCTTGGGTTTGTAGTTCTGTAAACCCCAACTACTTGATTTACACAGGTTGCTATACTCTGTAGGAAGCAAGAGGAAACACCTCGCAGCAGGAGAATCAACAACGGAGCTGGGGAAGTTAAATAAAATATATCATTTATATAGGGGAAGTCACCTAGTGGTTTTGCCACACTCTGGAATGAGATAAAAGCACCTTTTCATCGCTCTGGTATAAATCGTCCCTCCACATCTCTGAATGGGAGGGACACTCCCAGCTATGTCCTAATGCCATCCCGCGCTGCTCCAACGACTGCCACTGCTGCCCGAGCAGGTGCTCCCCAGGCAGCTCCGCACCAGGAGAAAGGTTTTCTCCTGGACACGCATTCAAGATCATAAACCAGCTCCTCAGTGCTCCACCACTTGCCTGGCTGATGTAAAGGCCACTTTCAGTGCTAGCAGCAGCCAGCACAGAGCAGCACTGGTGAAGCAAGCCGGGCTTACAAGGGCTGGGGGTGAGAACCTTGTGCTGGGTGGGCACCAGCTGCATGGCTCGCTTCTCCAGTTTTTATCAGCTTTTTAATCACAGTGAAATAAGTCAAACTTGGAAAACTCAAAAAAAAGAAAAAAAAAGAAAAAAA